GATCAGCTGGTGTCACAGCTGGCCATAAGTTGTGAGCTGTTGCCGCGTATGTGCTGTGGCGGAGCAGAGTTTGGGCCCTCGGGCTGTGCCAATTTTGCCCGACGGCCCTCTACGGAATGCAGTGCTGCAGGTGCGAACCTACACAGACAACAAAATCAGCCAGGGTCACTGCTGGCTCGTAAGATGTCTTGCTGATGTGCCTGCTGTGCTGGGTATGAAGAAGCTTCGCAGTTTCTTGCTACGTGCAAGTGGAGGCCCGGAGGCCCTCGCGAGCAGAAGCTTCGCAGTTTCTTGCTACGTGCAAGTGGAGGCCCGGAGGCCCTCGCGAGCGGTGCGAGCCGAGAAATTATGTACAATGTACATTTCGCCAGCGCAGGAATAGCAGTATTGTAGTTGTAAATCAAGAGCTAGCGCTGTCTGTCTGTTATTGGCCGAAGGCTCGGCCCACAACGAGGGGTGGCTTCGATTGCGAAACCGCAAAAAGAGCTGGTGTGCTCAAAGCTCACGGTCTGTTGTGCGTCGCATGGCTATATGAGTTGCAAGACTAGCAGTGACTAGCATGAAGTTCTGTTTGATCCCGGATGCATGCCTGCAGGCCTGGCCGCAGTGGATATATGTGGACCTCGAAGATTCTGTGGAAGGACCGATCATGGAGGGCTTAGCATGAGTGATTGACTGCATGATGCAAGCAGAGCAATTCAAGTCTGCCTTGTGCGAGGGCGTATGTGTGCATGTGCGTTGACCCATGAATGTGTGAGCCAGTACAAGGCTCATGTGTATACGGAATGTCATACATGTGCTGAACCCGTGCAACCATGCATGGAAGTGGTTGTGTGCATACAGACTCATACAAACAACTTTGTATAAGATACACATGTACCATGCAAACACTGACGTGCTTTGGCTGTTCACCTTTGCGATGAAGCAGCGTCGTGGGATCGTGCCGCGCAGAAGAACCCGCGGCTTATGCAGCAATCGTGGGTGCTGCGCGACTGCACGGTTTGGCAAAGATGGGTGCTGTGCCATTGGAGCTTTTCCTGCATTTGAATGAGTGTATCATGTTGTGCCCACTATAACCCTCAACTCCAGTGTCGTGACTGCAGAGGTTGTATTTAAACTGGTGGCTATGATGACACAAATCCAAAGCCTGCCCTGGGATGTTGCATTGCACCACTTCGAAACGTTTGCTGGAAGCAAAGCAGTTACACGAGCCGAGCAGCGAGCTGCTTGCTTGCAGAATAGTTAAGTCATGCTTGCCCCCACCCACAACCTCCCAAAAGCCCCTCCTTGTAAACGTTTCTCCCAGGCTGGTCGATGTGCGATCCCACATGACATCGTCTACAACGATCGCACGATGAATATCCTCAGCTCCCTGGGCTTTTGCAATGCATTGTTTGAGTGCCTTCGACTGGTGCCTGGCAGTGGAAAACTCACGGCCCCGGTGTGCTCATCATGGATATTTCTGTAGGGCACCAAGTTGCTATGGAATGCATATGATGTTCTTTCCTTACAGCTGACATGTGTGCTGTGCTGATATGAAATCTTGAGGTCACAATCCAAAACAATGCGCCGGGCTGGCGATGTACTGGGAGACGAGTCTGTGCAGTCTGTGAAGGATGCAAACTGCATGCTGTGGCGAGTTGTTGCCCTCCTCCTAATCTGTTCGGCTAAGGGGGTGTTCTGGATATTGGAACAACCAGAGCGGTCATTGATGGAATCCCATCCTGCCATTCAGCTGCTCTTTGGCTGTGTGAAATGCTATCGAGTATCTATTCAGATGGAGGATTTCGGCGCGAAATCCAAAAAGCCAACATGGTTGTATAGTAGTGCCTTGTCCGCACATACAGAGTCATGCTTGCAAGTGGTTCCGTGTCGGAATAGCCATGCATCCCTTGATGTTTGCTGAGATCGGAAGATACTGGAGAAGCTTCCACGATTCAAGCCACCGGTGGAAGACCTTCCCACCGAGGAGCAGAAGAAGGGATGGGAAATGTCAGTGCATTACACCGACGAGAACGGATGCAAGCGTGTGAATGGCGGCCGAAACCTGAAGGGCTCACAAGCCTATCCGAGACAGTGGGGCCCTCAATAATTGCAATTGCATTACAACCGCGGTTCGTGCGGCCCTGACAATTAACCCCGAAACCGCGATGAATGTTGTTTCCCAGTAAGGTTTGGCATTGCTTTGTCATCTTTGCGGACGGAGTACGATGCTGAGATCAAGCAGCAGGCTTGGGCAGATCTCGCTGAGGCTCTGAAGCAGCCTTTGCGGCTTCCTGCAGAGTGTAAGATCTCTAAGAGATGGGAGCGGAAAGCCGGTTTCAAGAAGGTGTTTGCATTCTTGCGACAGCAGCAGTAGCTGCTATGTGTGCAGCATGCATATAATTGAGTGCAGGCATCATGTGCAGGGGAATGGGGCCGAAAAAGGATTCCACAGGTTGCCGGTGAGCATGCATGTTGATTTGCAATACCAGCTCTATATGGATCAATATGCAATCCATGGATGCTGGCTTGCAACGCAGGATCATGCCGCCGTTCATATTGAAGCCGGGCGGTCTGGTATTGGCCGAATGTCGTGCTCCAGTCGAAGAAGGCCATGCATGGTGCCGCGTCGCCGCGTCGCAGCCCCCCCCCCCCCCCCCCATGACCCATGGTATGCCCCCCCGCCCCGGAAGCCAGGCGTCTGGTCCAAAAACAGTCACACGTCATCCGCGTAACTCCCCCAAGCCAGGCCTCGCCTCTCGCCTTGGCAATCGGGGGTGGGTGCGGGAGGGATAACCCACAATAGTGGAACCACAAGACGGCGAACCACGGGGGCGGGGTGGGGAAGGATAATCAACACAGGGAACCACCGGGCCCCTTCCCTTCCCCTCTCTTCGAGCACAAATGAGAATGTTGTGCGCAATGATGTTGATGTGCTAGTCCCAGTGTGGCTATTGGTGGTACCTTTGCTCTTATGTTGCTCTGGGCTTCGGCACCGCATGTTCATCGCTTTATCTAGTTGAAAACCGTGCTTGGCTTGTGATGTTCTTGCGAAAACCATATCGACCGTTGTCATTCCAAGCCAAGTTTCGGTTGGGTTCGCTACAAGTAAGCTTGAGCACATATTTGAATGGTTTTCATTCGGGACTTTTGAGCAAGGGACCTGATGAGAGTGCGGATGGGGATCATGAGCACCATCTTCGTCATTATCATCACCATCATACTCATCACTATCATTGGCTTTGGAGCTCAGGGCAGGTCGGAGTTCAATAGAACTGTATCACATCCTACGGTCCAAACCCTTAGCAACCGGACGCATAGCCATGGACGGGGGCGCAGCCGACCGCAACCAATGACAGGGGAGGGGCAGGGGGGAACCCACACCACAGGGAACCACAGGGGGGAAGGGGGTGATACCATGGGGTGGGGGGGGAGGGGGGGCCTAGCAGCGCTGCACCATGCATGCGTGCCATGCATGTGTGTGTGTGTGTCAAACAAGAGAGTCAGTGCTGCTTTTCTGCTCGGTTTGTGAACCGGTGCCTGGGGGAGCAGAGGGGAGAGAAGGTGAGGGCAGAACGCAAAGGGAGAAGGGAGATGGGAAGGAAGACCGATCCGGAGAGCGCGAAGGAAAGAGAGCGGAGAGTGGAGAGTTCGCAGCGGACCAAAACCACCGAAAAAGAAACCCGAACGAAACGAAAACGACGCAAAACCCCCAAGTCGCTGATGTGATTTGGCGTGGACGCTGGTGCGATTTGGCGTGGAACGTCGTGATTTGTATTTCGACCCCAAATCTCAACCAATGCCCCCCCAGAACACCCAGAACTCGAGACGAAAGAGCGCAACTTCGGCACATGATGGAAGATGACAGCCGTGATTTGTAGCAGCCACTGCCGTGATTTGCAAAAGATATGAACCGCATGCCGTGATATTGTAGCAGCCGCTTCCGTGATTCGTGATTTGTAGAAGCCGCTGCCGTGATTTGTGGAAGCCGCTGCCGTGATTTGTAAAAAGCCGCTGCCGTGATTTGTAAAAGCCGCTGCCGTGATTTGCCGCTGCCGTGACCGCTGCCGTGATTTGTAAAAGCCGCTGCTGTGATTTGTAAAAGCCGCCGCCGTGATTTGTAAAAGCCGCTGCCGTGATTTGTAAAAGCCGAAGCCGTTATTTGTAAAAGCCGCCGCCGTGATTTGTAAAAGCCGCTGCCGTGATTTGTAAAAGCCGCCGCCGTGATTTGTAAAAGCCGCTGCCGTGATTTGTAAAAGCCGCTGCCGTGATTTGTAAAAGCCGCTGCCGTGATTTGTAAAAGCCGCCGCCGTGATTTGTAAAAGCCGCTGCCGTGATTTGTAAAAGCCGCTGCCGTGATTTGTAAGAGCCGCCGCCGTGATTGTAGAAGCCGCCGCCGCCGCCGTGATTTGCAGCAGCTGCTGCTGTGATATGACACATCATGGATATATTATATCGTATGCAACATACACATCTATAGTTTATAGGATTCCTATTTAAATTCTGCATTTGATGCCACAGGTGCATGCAGTAATATGCACACATATGTACATGCATGTGCATGCATGCATATATATATATATACACACATTTTCCTATACCTGCACACATAATGTATATAGTGTATGTATACATGTATATAACATGCATGCATGTTGTCTTGTCTGTCTGTCTGCATGCAGTCTCTCTGTCTGAGTACATATAAGCCAAGCCAACCCCCCAGCCCATGCGCCCAGCCCATCCATGGGCAAGTCTGTCTGTCCATATATGTCATTCTGCCTTATAACGTATACAGCCCACCCAAGCCAGTCCCAGCCCGCCCAAGCTATATGGAGAGTCTGTCTGTCTGTCTATCTGTCTGTGTCCTCGTCTCTCTCAGACACCTTGAGATGCAAAGCAAGGTTCCATGAAGTGAGAGCACATGAAGCTTCGATGCATTCAAATTGTGCCGCATGGGGCGCTTGCTTTCAAGCTTTTGGTGGCTCCTGTTTTGTGCAGTTAATCTTTGAGCTGCAGCCATGGCAGCCGGCGATCCGGTGACTCATAGGGTTTCAACGAAACGCCAGCAGTCACGAGACGACAGCGAAAGCCAGCCGAAGAAGAAGGCAAGGCCGTCGAAGCTTGAAGTGTCCCGGCACGAAAAACTCATGGTCTCCTTGCAGCAGTGTGCTACTAAGGGTAGGAGGCCAGGAAGCCTGGCAGCCCCTGTTGCGATTAAGAAGAGCCGAAAAGAACAGCAAGAAACCGAAGTCGCAAAGGAAATGCAGAAGAAAGAAAACCAAGGGAAGAAGGAAAGCAAGGAGAAGAAGGAAGTCAAAGAGAAGAAGGAAAGCAAAGAGCAAGTCAAAGAGAAGAAGGAAAGCAAAGAGAAGAAGGAAAGCCAGGAGCAGGGAGGAAACAAGGAGAAGAAGGGAAGCAAAGAGCAGAAGGAAAGCAAAGAGCAAGTCAAAGAGAAGAAGGAAAGCAAAGAGCAGAAGGAAAGCAAAGAGCAGAAGGAAAGCAAGGAGAAGAAGGCGAGCAAAGAGAAGAAGGAAAGCAAGGAGCAGAAGGAAAGCAAGGAGAAGAAGGAAAGCAAAGAGCAGAAGGACAGCAAAGAGCAGAAGGAAAGCCAGGAGCAGGGAGGAAACAAGGAGAAGAAGGGAAGCAAAGAGCAGAAGGACAGCAGAGCAGAGCAGAGGGACCACAAGAAAAAGAAGGACAGCAAAAAGAGAGTGCAGGAGGAAAGCAAAGAGCAGAAGGAAAGCAAGGAGAAGAAGGCAAGCAAAGAGAAGAAGGAAGACCAGACGGCCAAAGTCACGAAGCGGAAGAAGGAAGGCACAAGCAAGCAGGACGTGTCTGAGGAGCGGGACCGTGGACCGTGCACATTGCAATGGTGTCTTATAGTTTATGTAGATATGCAGTTCGTGCGTGGTGGATGAGTATAGGACGATGAAACGGCGGAAGCCTTCGATGAGGTGGCTCTCCTGGAGGCGGAGCTTGCAGCTCAGGAGCTAGCGGAAGCCCAAGAGGACTCGGAGGTCTCAGATGGCGAGGCACCCGAAGCTTCGGAGGAAGCCAAGGACGAGGAAGAGGAGGACGAGCCAGAGCAGGAGGAGACCAGTGCTCCAAGGACCCAGGTGCCGGCGCTTTGGACAGTGACGAGGAGCTGCCTCAGTCGCAAGATTGTGTCTTGGACGAAGAGGACATGCAGTCCGACTCGTCAAGCGACCAGTCGGAGGAGAACGTGGACGGCGACTCCTTGAGTGACGCTGAGGACACAAAGGCGTTGAGTACGGCCGTGGCGGCTGAGCCCGTTCGGAACAGCTCCCTAGATTGCATATATACAAGCTTGCTGTTTCAGTTGCCGTGCGATATTGCGAGTGCATTTAAGGTGCCACACACAAGAAGGAATGGGCGATTTTTGATCGTGCCATTAAGAACCGCCAGAAGTTCCCCGTCGCTCTGAGCAACTATGCGAGCAAGTCCAAGACGGATTTGTTTGCTGCATGGCTCGATTGCAATGGCAATTGGGACGAGCTATTTGGCTGCATGAGTTGTCTTTTGGTTTGCAGTTTGCTTGCGTGGGTTTGCGGTGTATGAAGCAAGACATGTGTCGAAGGGTGCTGCCATGCTGTCAGGGTGAAGTTGGTTATGGAACGCAAGCATGAAAAGAAGAGCCTAAATCGCCAGGATGTTGTTGCTATTCAGGGAAAGGACTTGAAGACAAAGTACCTAGACGAGGCAGAAGACTTATCCGTTTCCGGTTGCACAGTTCAAGCTGAACACATTTGTGCCAGGCAATGTACAAGCAAGTGATTGCAGCAAGAAAAGCCGAAGGCCGCTGGTACAAAGACAAGGACTTCCCCGACAACGAAGATGTGACTAGGTTTCATCCATGGGAGTTCTGAGCCGTGTTGTGCTGTTGTTCTTGCTGTGCATGTTATCATATATGCACTTGCTGAGGAAGCATGGTATTACATGCCGAAGGGCCACCTGCTGCGGCCTGACAATGCCACGAGCGAAGAACAAAAGTTGTCTGTCGAACAAGGTATGGATGAGGACTTGGCGAAGGTACTGGAGGAGAACAACCTGCTTCAGGCAGGCACCTTGCCTGCGGTACACGCAGCCACTGAGGCTGGCGAGAAGACGCTTCTGGCCTTCTTCGATGAAGGTGCTGCTGTGGCAAAGCCAGCACCGAAACCCAGGAAGGACAAGGAGTCAACGGAGGATGCCAAGGAGATGGAACCGAAGACCGTGCGCCAGTTGCTTGAATGCTATTGTTGAGTTACTTCAATGCTGTCTGCGCTGCTGCTTGTGCGTGGGTATTTATGCTAAGGCTGGTGGCAGAAGCGAAGCCGGAGATCCTGAAGGATGCCTCGAAAGCTCGGGAGACCTCCCTCACCCTGAACAACCTCAACTACGGTGAAAAGCTGGCCGAGCAGCTGCTGAATTACTCCAGGCAGATGGAGCTGACCTACAAGAGGCTAGCTGAGCTGGAGGCAAAGGAGAGCACCGAGGATGCCGAGTTGAACAAGTTTCTGAAGTATGTGGCCAAGAAGAAGCCATGGTTCCAGCAAGCCCAGGCTCACTGATCTTGCGTTGCGGTGTGCGAGTTTTGTTGGATCTGTGTGCGGAACACATGCTTGCTAAGGCAGCAGCAAACGGCCTGCAGTCTGGATTGAAAGCAATTAAAGAAGAAGAAGGCAGGAGCCAAAGCAAGCGCCAAAGGTGCTGCTGCGAAGCCTGCCGCAAAAGCGGCTGCTTGATGGTGATGTAGGTTTGGGATGCACCGCACATGACGTTTATCTTGGGACGATTGCATTCTGACGTGGGGTAGACTTGCCACTAGGCGAGCCCTCGCTGGGACGTGCATGCGCGCTTGACAGTTTGATAGCGTTCATTTGGGAGTCTTCCTGTTGAATGCAGAAATATGTAAGCTGCATGAATTTGCAAAGTTAGGGTGCATGTAAAATGCTCCTGAGACAAGTGTGCTATGCATGTCACCGAATGCCTTGCGAAAGCTCCTTTTGGGAACATGTGCAGCTGCCACGATGGCAAAAGCCGACGAGATCCGCATTTCTTTCTGCTGAAAGAGTATGATTCATGTCATGCTGGTTGCTTGCAAACACGGTCTCTTGTGTTTGTGTGTTGAATTCCGAAGTTAGATTCTGCTTCTTGGCAGGCCGTGCTGATAATGATCGATCCAAGCCCAGGCTTTGCCGTTTGAATCGTCATGTGCTTTGGTCAGTTCATGTTGCTGTACTGCCATGATGCAGGCCTACATCCTTTCGTCGGAGAATGAACTATGAATCTATGCCACATTCTCATGCAGCAGAAGAGCTTCTGGATATGATTGGGAGTGGCAAGGCCCATGTGGCACATGCTCAAAATTTGGCGCAGGCTATGATTCGGGATGGGATTCCAAAGGAAGCTGTCTCTGCTTTTGCGAGCCTGGGATCATTTGGGCAGCATCCTTCGGATGCTGAGCGTGACCTACATAGGTGGCTGAAAGGTATCTATGGAATGTGCTTGGAACCATACTATATAGACTTGCTACTTGAAACGGAGGATGTTGATGAGGACGCCGGGAAACCTTTGACGGCAACCAAAAGGATACCTGTTCTCCTACCACACGAGATCTTCGCTGAGCTTCATTCTTCAAGTGCGTATCAGGTTCCGACCGGGCACAAAACACCGAGAGAGCACAAGACGAACCTTTTGCGACAATCTTTTCTCGTTTGTTTTCACGCATGTCTGTTTCTGTGCGAGTGGTTCTAAGGTTTGTTGGTTCATCTTGTGACATAATATGACTCCTTGTTCCCTGTCAGTTTGGTACGAGCATGCTGGGGCACCAGACACCGGATGCGATCAAAGATATTTGGGAACATTTGCAACGGTTTGCGCCGATGGATATCAAGGGTCATCCGGCTTTGGAGAGCTGTGATCTCTCCGAGCTTGTGCCGCTCCTTGTTCACTTTGATGGTGCAGAAATGTACAGGAATGCTGAGTACAACATATGGTCTTTTTCCACTGTATTTTCTTCTATGCTGGATGTGGATTGCATCCAAACTCAATTCTTGTGTTGTATCCTTCCTCGTATTGCGATGGAAACCAAGGAGGCCTGCGGCCTGTGGGGGATTCCCTTTGAACTTCGTATAATGTGTCATAGAAGTAGAAAGTAGAATACATTCTTCTTATAAGTGACTTAAGCCATTTCTCAGGTGAAGGACCACGTGCACACTGAAATCGCGAAGCTCATGAGCTGGTCTTTCAAAATCCTTCAAGAAGGTCGCTTTCCGGATCGTGGGTATTATGGGGAAGAGCTTCCTGAAAAATCGAGTCGGGGAAAGAGCCGCGGGCTGCCCCTGGCCGGCGGATGGAAGATTCTTGAGCTGCAGCTATGTAAGATTTTGGGTAGCCGGTCTGAGTTGCAGGTCTGTGCTGTCCGTTGTGAAGCGCATGTAATTCTGCAGGGCATGCTTCTATGGATTTCGCGGGGACCAGAAAGCGAGACGGGAGTGTCACTTCTTTACACGGCACTACAACTGCAATCTGCTTTGCGACCAATGCGTTGCGATAAAGCCATCAAAGAATATGGTCCGTGGGATGAACTACAAGAACTTTTCTGCGAATGCTCCCTTTCTACTCACGACTATCAGCCGCGAAACGTATTTGAACACAACTTCCGCGAGTGACCTGTCGCCTTGGACGGCGATGCCAGGCTGGAGACTTGAGAATACGTTTTTTGATTGGATGCATGTAGTCCTGCTTGGAGTGGGAAGAGATGCTGTTGCTGCCGCCATCAAACTGATGGTCACGCGGGGAGTGATTGGCTGGGATACAAAGCGAGCAGATCTGAAGATGTTGACACTTTGGACCAAGAAAGAATACAAGAGCCGGACTGGGTACCTGGGCTTTTTGAAGAACGTTTTTTGGTTTTCTTCTAGTAGTTGGCTTTTAGCTGTGTCCGTTGGTGCATGTATCATGCTTTCCACCCTGAAGGAAATCCTTCTCTGTGATATCTTTGACCCCTGCAAATGCTGGCCTGGATCCTTGGGCCGAATACCCGGAGCTCGGGACACTTTTCAAGGCTGCGCAAGTCAAGATCCTGATCTTGGGTTATCGAGAAAACTCCAGGAGGTGGTCAAGCGGGTTCAGGAGTTGCATGTTCCAAAAAATTCCGCATTCCCCATGCTGTTCTAAATTTAACTTTTCTTTTGCATGCATCCATCTATCTTTCAGTGCCTCTCTCCGTTTCTCTCAATCTCTCTTCAGCTCTCTCTCTCTCTCTCTCTCTCTCTCTCTCTCTCTCTCTCTCTCTCTCTCTCTCTCTCTCTCTTATCTCTCTCTCTCTCTCTCTCTCTCTCTCTCTCTCTCTCTCTCTCTCTCTCTCTCTCTCTCTCTCTCTCTCTCTCTCTCTCTCTCTCTCTCTCTCTCTCTCTCTCTCTCTCTCTCTCTCTCTCTCTCTCTCTCTCTCTCTCTCTCTCGCTCGCTCGCTCGCTCGCTCTGTTGCTGTTCTCTGTGCAGCAGGATGAGGATTTGGTGAGAATGGCTCTGGCAATGCGAGGGCTCAGTGAAGCTCAGAGTTTGCTGGACAACGGCGGATTGAAGTTCACTGGAAGCGAAGCACGAAAGTTCGATGAAATGGCGCACTTGCATTTACGAACGTGGCAAAGGCTAGCTGTGAAATTCGAGGACCTCCTCATCCCTTTGTGCAACATCCGGCCCAAACACCACTATCTACAGCATCTTGCTCGGTATGTGCTGCGGACCCGAATAAATATTCGGATACACCAAAACTTCGATTCTGAATCCTACATGGGGAAAATCAAACGAATCGCCTGCAAATGCCATTCGACTTCGATGTTGCTGCGAGTCCAGCAGTGCTACATCCTGTACTTGGCGTTGCTCTGGGATCGAGCAAAACGAGCATCAGTTGGTGGGGATGTCAGGGGAAAGTCTTTGGAAGATATCTTGCTCTTGGAGGAACGAAAACCTTTCAGTAGCACTGCTGAACATGCGAAGCGACGATGCTTGCGAAGCTGAACGGTGCGATGGTCGCAAAAAAGCGGTTCCTGGCCAACTGATGGGGATCGTATTCCTGGGCTTTCGAATGTGGGTGCATGTTATGTTTCGAAAGTTCATCTGATATTCATTTTTCTTCGAAGTTCAGAGGCCTTTGCGGTTTTCTGGCCGACGTGGTTTTTTTTAGCCATGAGCATTCAACCATGCAGGGTCATATTCAGGATCCTCTCGCCCCACACAACCCGACCTCTTGAATTAACGATCGCCGACAATCTGCGGTAAACAGTAGAAGAAGTTTCTTCAGACAGCAGGCAACGAAATCAGGGAACCATCATGTACCAATAGAGCATCTCGCAACGAGTCTTATGCAGATGTGTGTGTGTGTGTGTCTGTGTGTGTGTGTGTGTCTGTGTGTGTGTGTGTCTGTGTGTGTGTGTGTGTGCAGCTAGACATGCTCGTTCCGCATGCAACAAAAATATCACACATCACATGAAGATCCAGACAGCTATATAGCAACCTAGAAACCAGCCGCCGTATGTTGCAAACCAGTCCAAAAATTTTAAGTAAGTTACTGATACACATTCAATAGATGCGCAGATGATACGTATATACATATATATACACATACCCCATATGACCCTTAATGTTTTTGGCTCAAATGTTGTTGGTGCAAATTGGCGCCAACAACATTTTCAAGTGCATGGCTCAAATGCAGCAAGTTGTTGGCTCAAGAAGCACTTTATCTATCGCAAGCAAAGTAAACGCCATCAGCGCAAGTAAACGCCGTCAGCGCAAGTAAACGCCGTCAGCGCAAGCGTTTTTGCATCAGCGGACGCAGTCACTGGTTTTGAAAACACTTTGCAAGTGATCTTCTTTCATGCCTTATAATTAAATGTATTATGGCACTTGCTGTTGTTGCATGGTCGCGGCAAGTAAACGCCATCAGCGCAAGTAAACGCCATCAGCGCAAGTAAGCGCCGTCAGCGCAAGTAAACGCCATCAGCGCAAGTGAACGCCATCAGCGCAAGCGTTTTTTGCATCAGCGGACGCAGTCACTGGTTTTGAAAACACTTTGCATGCCTTATAGTTAAATGTATTATGGTGTTGCTGTTGTTGCATGGTCGCGGCAAGTAAACGCCATCAGCGCAAGTAAACGCCATCAGCGGACAGCCACTGTTTTGGAAAGAGAGCGGCCTGCCATGGGGCCTGGGTTTTTGCAACCCCACTATTTTGCTATATGCATAGGTAGATATCAAATAATCTCGGAGGCTGGATGACATACACGTCGTTGAAATACCTTAGATGCATCGAAGCGAAGCTGCAAGCGAAGCATACACGGGTTCCAGACGGTGCATCAGCATTTTGCCCCACACGTTCCGCCGACTGTGCATGTTTGACCGAGGTCCTTCATACTCGGCATGCCGGACGCTTCTTGAGAGCAGTCTTCTGGCACTTCATGCTACAGCTGTATGCCTTTGAGACTTTCTTACGTTTGTAGGGAAACTGGCTGAGGTAGCCAGGCCGCCCGCGTCGACACACATCATTATGCAGCTTACAGAACACCAAGACTTTGAGATGATGCCGGTGCGGGGAGAGCTCATTCAGAACTCTAGCATACTGGCGGAACCACGAAAAGACCTGCTCCGCTGCTGAAGTGTTTACACTAGCAAAGCGACGGTTCAGGCGACGGACATGATGGGGGTTGCAAGGGCATTGGTCACTGTGTTTGGCCCCGTGGAAATAGTCCACACACCAATAGCCCACCTGCGCAAACTTCCTGGTGCGCTTTGCGTGAGGAAGGAAGGCACAAGCCCTGTCCATGACGACGCCGTCGAGGAGCGGATACTTGGGGAGGAGGCGTGTGAGGATGCCATCCATCACTTCATTGCCCTCCGGCTGGTGAAGGCAGGAAACCCCGAGGACTCGTAAGGTGCGAGGATCGACGGCCATGAACCAGCCGTAGCCATAGGGCTTCCGCTTGCCGTTCGCCCGAGGCTTTCCGGGGTGCTTCTTGTCCAAGGCCCCGCATTTCACATGCACTTTAGCATGGCCGTCGCACACAATCTCTGTGACCTTCCGCTTGTTAGACGGAGGGAACGCATGGTTGTGCACGTAGCGATCGTAGGCTTCAACCGATTGACTGGTGGCCTCGTGACCAATGGCAAAAGTCATGGGGATCGATGCGGCCGGATACTCAGTCAGAGCGATGAAGTACATGATTGCGGACCCATGGACATCTCTGAAGTGACCCCCTCCACTGCAGTGCTCGATGTCGTATACCCTGCTATACACATCGAGCGCTGCTCGAGCTGAAGCGAAAGCCCGGAACTCCAAGAGCATGTGGTAGCGAAGGTAATTCACCGTGAAGCCAATCTTGGGACTGATAAATATGGCTTCCCCTGCAACATCTACATCTGGTAGGGTGTTGATCTTCTCACTTTGCTCGATGTAGAAATTGGGACCATACGTTCTTCTGCAGGAGTACGAGGTACAGCGGACGGTAACAACCGAGACCTTCTCGGGACCGGACATCCCGTAGAGGGTGGCGTCGACTTTGTGAGCTTCTGCAAGGTTTCCTTTGCACAAACATCTGAAGAGATGGGAGCGGAAGATCCTTGAAGTACTCTGGGCGGCAGGACGCTTCATGCTGACTACCGACTACCGACTACCGACTACTGCAGCGATGGCGAGCTACTTGGAGAGCGTGGCTGAGGGTAGAAGAAGCAACAGCGCATGCGAGGCATTGCACAATGACAATGGTTCAGAACATCAAAGGCCTCAAAGGAATGGCGACTAATGCATGTTTCGGCGGGCGATGTTTTCCTACTGGCTTCAGTGACCTGCAGTGATGCAGGCATCATAGCAAAGACAAAATCTGAGCTTGGCGTCGCTCAGAATCTGAGGTGCCTAGGTCCTAGGTTCACTCATCCTCCGGGGCTTCACCAACACGAGGCAGGCCATCGTCATCTTCAGACGCAGACCCATCGCCGTGAACCCTTCGCCGCTTTGCCTGAGCAGGCCTGGGGCTGGGGGTGTCCAGATCGATCGGAGCACTACCGGAAGCAGTGGACAGAGATGCGAAGACGCCTGGCTCCTTCTTGACGGGTACCGGAGTCCACGGTGCTGGGGCAGGCTTCGTTGGCCGAGACGCATCAGCAGGTGCAACCAGGTCTGTGCTCTCCAAGTCCACAACAACCCGACCAGAGAAGGGGAGGTCGGGCTTCCTTTCGACACGGCGCTTGGTTTTGTCAAACAAGCCCTGCTCGATGATGACTGTTGTTCGCTCCGGAGAACGGCCCTTTTCGAGAACCAGGGAGACGAAGTCATGCGACCACTGTCTCTTCTCCAGCCAATCAGATGGTGGGCTCTTGTCACCATTCTTCATACGATCTAGGAGTGCCTTGCCTGAGTCGGCAATGAAATCCTTGATGCCGCCTTCGTACTGGATGAGTGGCACTGGATTGGTGCTCGTGCCAGCCTTGCGAACGTAGCAGGCACGATTGGTGTTCACCACCCAATGCGAGCGCTTCAACAAAGCCATTTTATCCTGGGTGGAGGACTTCTCGGGGAAGGCTGGAGCAATGATGTCCAAGAAGACTTCATGGGGAATGGTGGCCTGGCCAGGCGAGATCCATTTGTCGGCGTCCTCATCGATCTTGTTGTCGCAGAGGATGCGAAGTTGGTTGCGGACGAACTTGGAAGTGGTCCAGCGTTCCACCGTGAAGGACTCCTCCAAGGAAGCATCGAGAAAGGCCTTGAGCTTGGGCATGGGAACCACGTTCATGTCGGGATCGTCCAGAATGTCTGGAACATGTTTCTTTCCAGGCTCCCCACGCAGCTGATCCAAGCTGGAGCAAAGACGAAAGGAAGGCTTGACATCCCAAGCCATGTCGTCGACTAAGATCCAGTATTCGGAGATGGCGAGTGCGAGCGCTTGGGCTGCGGGGGTTTTGCCCTTCTCCGCAAGCCCCATCATGACCAAGGTCTTGGATTTCATGGGCAGAAGAGGAACAAGAACATCATGAAGGAACCAGCCTTGGAGGTCATACAGAGTGACGAAGAAGTCGCTGGTACAGTCGGCGAAGACATTGGAGTTGGCATAGCCGCGAAGCGACTCCTTGACTAATTAAGCCCGCTGACCAACCGAAGATGGGACTGCCTTCTTTGTGAATTTCGACCTCAGTCCACTCTGTCTGCCGATTGTGCATGTTGGACCGAGGTCCACTAGAGCGGATGAAGTCGAAGCCTTTCTGCAGATCCGATGTTTCTTTCGTCTTGGTCTTGGGCTCCTTCATCTGAGTCAGGAACCACATAACGCTCCATTGGCCAACATGTTCCAAAAGATACTGGAAGCCCTTGAGACCGCTGCGGAAGTTGGTGCCGTAGTTGATGAGGCGGAGGTCCCCTGCGAGAGATGTCTTCAGAAGCCGAGCGGGTATCTTGTCCTCAAAGATGAAGTGCTTCAAGAAAACCCACCGACCATCCGAAGACTGCTGGCCCACAAGCTGCTTTCTGAATTTCATGCCGTTACCAAAGCTCACAGACAAGGGGCCGGGAAGGTCCTCATACTTCCCGGTGGAGATGAGGTGATAAAGGTGTCCGAAATCAAAATCCCCCGCGGACATCGGTTCGACAACCTCAACCACGGACTTTAACGAAGTGGAATGTGTGGCTGATTTGAGCGGTAGTAAGTCAAAGCTGCCAAGCTCGGAGGTTCGTGAATGGATCACAGGGGCGTCCAGTGTGCGAAAGTCCAATGGAGCCGCAAGCAAGCATGCCTGAGCGAAGTCGGCCGGAGGCTTGGTGGACGACATGGACATGGCAGGCGGGTGAGAGGACTGCGAGAAGTGGCACGATGAACTTGAACCTAGCTACCGAAAGGTATGTATATGTTCGGCACGACAAATGCTTTAATCACTTGTTAGTAACACGCGCACATCCTGCACACGAGCCCTTTTGCTCCGGCTCCGTGACAGCTTGGTCTCAGACCATGTACAAGGGAAGACGGCTACAGGTACATTGCAGACTGTTCTAGGGTCTGTTACACCCTAGTGCCTGATTAGCCCAGAAGAGATCCTGCGAAGTCTCTTTCAGATCGGCTTTCAACTGGGAGTTCATAGCCTCCAGCTTTTTCACCCGTGCACGCAAGCCGCTCTTGGTCTTATCATTGCCCTTTTGCACCGAACCAGAACCACAAGGTTTAGATCCACAGGGCTTTTTCGACAGAGTTGGCTTTTAAAGACGTTTACAGACTTTTAAAAACTTTCAAATGCAAGAAAAAACATTCTAAAAACTTTTAGAAGACTTTAAAAGACTTTTAGAAACTTTTAGAAGACTTTTGCAAACTTTAAAAGACTTTTCAAAACTTTAAAAGGCTTTTAAAATATTTAAAAGACTTTTAAAAACATTAAAATACATTTAAAAGCTTTAAAAATACTTTAAAAGACTTTTAAACGCTTTTAAAAGCTTTTACAAACTTTAAAAAGAATTTGAAAGACTTTTAAAGACTTTAAACAACTTTTAAAAATTTTTTAAAAACTTTAAAACAAAAAAAACTAATGTTTTTTCCGAGAAGACGAGGATGAAGAAGACCTGGCACAGGGTTTACAGTTTCAGGGTCTTTAGGGTTTGGGGTTAGAAGGCAGAGTGCCATAGTATTAGGGGTTTGAGGGTAATGAAAGGGTTAGGGTTAGAGTTTCAGGGTCTTTATTATATTTAGGGTTTGGGGTTAGAAGGCAGAGTGCCATAGTATTAGGGGTTTGAGGGTAATGAAAGGGTTAGGGTTAGAGTTTCAGGGTCTTTATTATATTTAGGGTTTGGGGTTAGAAGGCAGAGTGCCATAGTATTAGGGGTTTGAGGGTAATGAAAGGGTTAGGGTTAGAGTTTCAGGGTCTTTATTATATTTAGGGTTTGGGGTTAGAAGGCAGAGTGCCATAGTATTAGGGGTTTGAGGGTAATGAAAGGGTTAGGGTTAGAGTTTCAGGGTCTTTAGTATATTTAGGGTTTGGGGTTAGAAGGCAGAGTGCCATAGTATTAGGGGTTTGAGGGTAATGAAAGGGTTAGGGTTAGAGTTTCAGGGTCTTTAGTATTTAGGGTTTGGGGTTAGCAGGCAGAGTGCCATAGTGTTAGGGTTTGAGGGTAATGAAAGGGTTAGGGTTAGAGTTTCAGGGTCTTTAGTATATTTAGGGTTTGGGGTTAGAAGGCAGAGTGCCATAGTATTAGGGGTTTGAGGGTAATGAAAGGGTTAGGGTTAGAGTTTCAGGGTCTTTAGTATATTTAGGGTTTGGGGTTAGGAGGCAGAGTGCCATAGTGTTAGGGTTTGAGGGTAATGAAATGGTTAGGGTTAGAGTTTCCGGGTCTTTAGTATTTAGGGTTTGGGGCTAGAAGGCAGAGTGCCATAGTTTTAGGGTTTGATAGTATTAGGGATGCACAAATCGCGTGAAGTGGCTACGAACTGCTGGATGTTGCGCTTTTCTGCGTTGACCACACTGTCAAGCGAATCACGTGCAGGCGAAGCAGGGTACAGCTGGGTGACGCGACAACGTCTGGCACTCTGCCTTCCCAGCTGCTGGCACTCTGCCTTCCCGCCTCAAGATCCATTAATTATTGCCACCCCAACTTTGCACAAAGCTGGTCGGTCAAAGGTATTGCTCCAGCATCAAGGTCAGGAAGTTCCCCCGGACCACCGAGACGGATGGCAACAAGTGAGAGGTGTTTCATCTGAAGGACAAACTGCCGTTGTTGTTCATCTTCGTCGTTCCAAACATAAACAAAATCACAAACGAGAGAAACGCGCGGCAACTCCAGCGGTTCTTCTCCTTCACCCACCTGATAACACTTCGGGAAGGGGCCTTCGTGCCGTCGAAGAAGCCTGAGGCCTCCTGTAATGCGGGAGCCAATACGTGGCCAGTAACGCAGGTAGCGAACCATGATTTCCCAAGGCACGTCGTCATAAACTTCATTCCATCTCTCAGCTGGTTTCCACTGGTCAGGCGCTTTGGCCAATTTTTCGCAAGCGGTTTTGATCAAGATTGGGGAGAGCTCGCCTCTGAAGAAACACTCTCCTCGTTCGATCGGGGCGAAATGCATTGCTCTGGACGGCTACTGTTCAGTCACAAGCACGCACGGCTTCAAACCACATGTGCTAGTTTGTGCGGCTTCCGGGTTGTGGCACTCGAAATGATTGTCCATGTGCTTGCACGTGACAAATTCCACATGTGTGAAAATGCGAACATGCTTTCGCAATCCGTCTTCCCCAAGCAGAAACACACAGTCTCTCGGACGCATTCCAATCTAGCAGGACCCGCTGCCATCAATGCAAGCACACAGACAGACACACAACTTTTCTTTGCAGCGCAGGATGAATCCTCTAGTTGTTGCCAGGCCTCCTGGTCGGGCCACAACAGGGCCTATGGTCAATGACGTGTTGTCTGGCCTGCGCTTCTGTCATCTTGGAAGCCACACGTCCCCAGTGATAGGGTACGAGGTGGCTCCACTCGCCTTCAATGCCAGACACACATGGGTTCATGTAATGTGACACAACACACAGCAGATCAGGCAACCACATCGAAGCTATAACAAATGTTCCGAATCTTTCCAAGAGACCGCCGTCTGTCACACGAACTCGGAGAAACCATTTTGCTTTGTCAGTGCCACCAGGATTCGGGTCGTACTTCATCTCACCAGCGATCTTGGGACACTCCGGGCATTGAACAGGTGTCCATACCCCTTGGTAGTCAACACGGTTCGGCCGCCGCTGATGTTGGGGGCCACGGACTGCAACCTCCCGTGGCTCGAGTGCTGGGATAGGCACTGCAGGCACCTCCGGCATCTCAGCAGGAGGGGCTGGCACTCTGCCTTCCTCGGGCTCCACGTGATCATCAGGCTCTGGGACAGGGATTGCAGCAGGCACCTCCGGCATCTCAGCAGGAGGGGCTGGCACTCTGCCTTCCGCGGCCTCCACGTGATTATCAGGCTCCGGCTCCACCGGCACCTCAGCAGGAGGTGCTGGCACTCTGCCTTCTGCTCCCTCTTGACCACTTTCATCAGGAGGCGCGGGTTGCTTCCTGGGCAACATACGTGGGCGACAAATCTTTCTCTTGGCTTTCCGTTTGGCCTGTGGCTTGGCCTTTGCTTTGGTCTTTGCTTTGGCCTTGCCCTTTGCCTTGGCCTTTGCTTGCTGCGTCTTGATGGCCTGCCAGGTTTGATGCACCCTTTTGATTCTGCGTTTTCTGACTGCGTCTGAGACCATTTTAAATTCCTGTTTGTCCTCAGCAAGCAGGTCGTCAAGAACCAGCTCATCAACAAAGTCCCCCATGATAATGTCATCCTCATCCTCATCCTCTGTTGAATCTTTGGCTGTCGAATACATAGCCTCAATTTTGCGCATGAAATCCTCATCTTCCGGAAGGTGATGAGAAGCGATCAGGCTCATGAGCTTTGGACGGCGCATTCGTTGCAGCTCCTTTCGCTTTTTTTCGTCTACGTTTCCAGTCTGGGAGATCACATGCTCGGCGAGATTCTGGCAGTCTGCGAGAGTCCGACATGCTTGTGACATTTCCCTCAGTCGAGTCAGCAAAAACAAGCACAGCAAAACTTATATAAGTTTATTGTACTATTTACTGTATGGGTCGACAGTTGACAGAATCCTAAATGAAAACATGTCACTTGGGATGCTGCAACATATAGGATAGAAGTGACACTGAGCTTGTAGCACAACGACGGAGGCAAATGAAGCCATTCCAGAAGACTGCCTCTGTTTCGATGACTTCCCAATACTGGGGCTCATACAAATGAATCCAGCAGGCCTTGACGCTGGAACCATCCGGGCACTCTGCCTTCAAAACAAAATATATCTCTCCTGTCGACTGGTCCTCATGCTGGACCACTGGCCACATGAGAGCAGCCCAGGTTTTTGCCCCAAGAGAGAGATAGCATGTCAAATCCAAGACATGGTTCAAGATCTTCAAAGGGGCTGCAAGGCTGCTAAACTTCCCAGCACGCAAGGGAACATGCTGAGATGCCAGTCTTGCATCATTGTAGTGAATTAGCCATGACCACGCAGCTGATGCTCGTTCGAGTGTCTCTTCTGACAGGGTGTTCCATGTCTTGTCGCCGACAATCTCGGTATACTGTGACGGCAGCTTGTGGACACATCCTCTGAAGCACAACTTTTGGCGCTTCCTGTCCACATTCCAAAACTCCCTTTCAAAATATTCCCGTTTGACTTTTGCCGGATGCCTGATTGAACGGCTTTCAAAGACGTTTGAATTCTCGATCACAGTTTGAATCGTGGAGTATGTTTGCTTGCGGGTTTTGTTCAACAAAGAATCATTACGAATCTTGTTGTGCACATCTTCCACAATCTTGTTGTCTGGCAGCGTCTGCACCAGAACACTCAGCAGGTGGGTTGCAGGGCATGCTGGTACCGATATTGTTACAGTCCTTTGAGCTGGCACTCTGCCCTCTTGCCCGTCTAACAAAATGTCACCAACTCCGGCACCGTCATCTGCTTCTTCAGGCACAGAATCCTCCATCTCCCCGTCCTGCTCTGTGTCAACATCATCCACGACAATGTCTTCTGACCCCGGAGGCGCCACTTCATATCCCTGTGCCTCCAATGTGTCCAGAAAAAGTCTCGAAGGATGGCTGATTCCAACTTGCAGGTCTGTGAAGAGTTGCCGGGCATGAACACTTGGAGTGGACCGTGCCAATGTCGACTCCAACCTCAAGAGTGATGTGTGATGGCCCTTTGCCTTCAAAGCCGTGATCGTCCGAATTTCTGCATCAGGTGACAGCAATCCCGCATAGGCATCTGGTG